TCAATTATCCAACACAAATAAACAAATGAAAGAATGAAGGGGAGCACAAAGCAGCACGCTAAGAGTTATTGCAGGCAGTCCCCGCTAGCAGCTGCATTGGTGGTGTCCAAGCGGCAGCCAATACGCCGCCGTTAGCATTAGCAGCAGTTGCAGACGGTCTCCGGTAACCACGGCAATAGCGATGAACACGGGAGCTAGTAAGCAAATGATACCAGAGGAAGATCCGATGTAAGAGAGAAAGAAAGGGGAAAAGGGAGGATCCTAAGGAGGAAAAGCGCAAACAAGCCCATTAACATGGTCCTTTAAATGATCACACCATATCATACGTGCTTCACTTACCAATGGGCGCACACTCAGACACGTTCTAATCACGCGTTGGTCGATACAATACAGCGAGGTGCCGGAATTAATAGCTGTACAGCATGAAACACGCAGGTTAAAATGCGGCTAAACCCCATTACTCAGCCAGTTCAAAGCCATCACATACATGCAACTGAACAGTCATCCAGCCACCACAGCCAAGGGAAAAGCCACCGCCACACGATGCACTAGAACAATGCCAAAAGAGAGCTTAACGTGGGTCGATTCAAACAACTTACAAAATTCAGAACGAGCGCAGAGCCTCTACCTGTAGCCGCGGCTACAGACACCCAAACCAGTGCGTCGGAGTCGGACGTGACGTATCCCAAGCACCGACCAATCAGGTTTAAAAAGGCGGTGCTACGTGCCGATTGGCCGATGTCAATGCCAATCAGCTGCACAGCACCATCACATTTTGGTTACTCATATCAATCAGCTGCACTACACCATCACATTCCACCCCCAATTTCTGCAACGTCGCCCCGACGGTGAACTAAACATCATTAATCGAAGAGCCTAATTCCAAGGGCGAAAGAATGTACCAAAAGGGTTAGTCGCTATACTGGACACTGTCCCTGTACCTACAGCTCGTGGGAGGTGGTGCAGGTTAGAATGCTGACCCGCCGTACTTCTCACAGTTCTCCTTACCACAACTTCTGCTGCTCTTACAGGGTTAGAGGGCACCACTTCAGGCTGCACAGTCTCCCCAGTTGCTCGACCCTCCAGTTCCTCGTCTACCACCCGAGGAACAGGGGGGACAGCACCCTGTGACCTTGACCTTCCTCTAAGCTCTGGTGTCTCAGGAACTAGAACCAGCAAGTCTCCATCACACTCCTCATCTGAAGGCTGCATGCCATCACCCATTGCAGGTTCAGGTGGACTAGGAAGCAGATTCGGACCAAGCTGGGCCTTCAACAAGGATCTGTGTACATGTTTGGTTTTACTGAGGTCTGCAACAGGAGCAATAGTATAGACTACTCCACTTTCAGTAGGTGCTTTTAGGACTTGGTAGACCACTGAGCTCCACAGGTCTTGGATTTTACATCTACCTCGCACACTATGATGGCGAAGGTAAACTAGTTGACCCTCCTTCAGTGGTGCTTCCCTTACCTGAAGATCATGCTGGGCCTTCCGCCGGTCGGCTGCGGCACCCAATTGCTCACGAGCACCTTCAAAAGCGACTTGTAACCGATCTTGCTGTTCCACAATCCACCCATGAACACTGCCGGCTGACGGCTCTTTAACTCTACCCAAGAGGAAATCAATGGGAAGTTTAGGTTCCTGTCCAAACATCAAATAATACGGGGATTCTCCAGTTGACTGGTGAGGAGTAGTGTTGTACGCAAAGAGAACCTGAGGGAGACAAAGTGGCCAATCACTCTTTTTAGAAGGTGGAAGAGAACGCAGCAGATCATGCAACGTTCTATTGAAACGCTCACATTGACCATTTCCAGCAGGGTGGTATGGAGTAGTACGGGACTTTACAACTCCATACAACCCACACAGCTGCTGAATCAAAGTGGACTCAAAATTACGACCTTGGTCGGAGTGGATGCGACCTGGCACCCCAAATTTACAAAACCATTCGGCCACAAGGACCTGGGCTACAGTCTCGGCCCGTTGGTCTCTAGTGGGTATAGCTAAGGTGTACTTTGTAAATATGTCAGTCATGACCAACACATTTTCTAGGCCAGATCTTGAAGGCTCCATCAAAGTGAAATCGAGAGCTAAAATCTCGTTAGGCCGAGAAGCCAGAAGATGTCCCATAAAACTACTGGGAGCAGAGGGGGTGCCTTTAGCACACTGGCAGCGCTCACACTCCTGGCACCAGCGTGCAATGTCAGCAAACATACCCGGCCAGTAACATCTCTGACGAACCAGCTGGGAAGTACGCTCAACCCCCTGATGTCCATGCTGCTGATGCAGCTGGGTCAAGACCTCAGTCTTCATGACGGCTGGTAGTAACACCTGGAGAACTTCCTCTCCGCCATCCGGCCGTGACACACGCCGATAGAGCACCCCTTCAATTTCCACAAGGCGGCCCCATTGGCGAAGCAAGATGACTGCCAAGCGAGAGAGCTGCTTACGCTCCTCCGAGGTAGGGAGCAACTTACGCCTCCAAAACACCAACACCTCACCAATGACTGTGTCTGCTTCCTGCAGAGCACCCATGTCACTGCCAGAGGGGCAGGGAAAGGCGGTAACTTGATTGACCTGGGTCACCAATCCATCTGGGGCCACTTGCTGCAACACAGCTGGAACAGCCACCCCTGGACACAGGCCTTGAACTTCTCCTGTACTGGAAAAGTTCTGCCGGGACAAAGCGTCTGCGTTACGATTGCTCCTACCCGATCTATACTTTATTTCAAAGTCAAATGCGGACAATTGAGCAGCCCAACGATGCTCCATTGCACCTAACTTGGCAGAATTCAGGTAGCTAAGGGGGTTGTTATCAGTAAAGACTATACATTTTTGGCCTAACAAATACTCCCTGAACTTTTCAGTCATGGACCACTTGAGTGCCAAAAACTCCAATTTCATTGAACTATAATTAGATGGATTACGCTCGGTGGGCCTAAGACTGCGGCTGCCATATGCTATCGGTCGCACCTTGCCTTGTTGTTCCTGTGAGAGGACTGCCCCCAAGCCTCCCTGACTGGCATCGATCTCTAAAATAAAAGGCAGAGAAAAATCAGCATAGGCCAACACTGGAGCACTAGTTAGCTTAATTTTCAACCCCTCAAAGCTACTTTGACATTCTGTGGACCAAGAAGCCGCAAAGTCATGGGCATTGCCCTTTCGCTGTTTTGGGTTTGCAAGCTGAGCCACCAGCCTATGGAGGGGGGCAGCCAATTTGGAAAACCCCTCCACAAAACGACGGTAGTAGCTAGCAAACCCCAAAAATGAGCGCAACTCGGTAACGCTGGTCGGGCAAGGCCAATTGGCCACTGCCTCCACTTTACCTGGATCGGTAGAGACCCCCTCTGACGAAATAACGTGACCCAAATAACGCACTTCCCTTTGAAAGAAAGCACACTTGGATAACTTGGCCTTCAACCCTTCCCTCTGCAGACGGCTCAGGACAACCTCCATCCGTGCCATATGTTCATCTATAGAGGAGGAAAAGACAATAATATCATCCAAATACAGGAGGAGGGATTGGCACTGTTGATCCCCAAACAACCGTTCCATCAATCGTTGGAAGGTGCTTGGGGCATTACACAGTCCAAACGCCATCCTATTCCACTCAAAAAGGCCAAAAGGGGTACAGAAGGCAGTCTTAGGCTTGTCCTTCTCAGTTACAGGCACCTGGTTATACCCACTGGCTAGGTCCATGGTGGAAAACCAACAGGCCCCAGCCAGCGAGTCCAAAGTTTCCTCAATACGTGGTAGAGGGAATGCATCCTTTCTGGTTTTCGCATTCAAACGACGGTAGTCTACACACATGCGCAGACCACCGTCTTTTTTCCTAACCAGGACAATGGGCGAAGCATAAGGACTGGAACTTTCTCTTATCACCTGGGTCTCTAGCAGTTGGTTGATATGTGCCTTTACCACCTCATACTCAGACGGAGGGATGCGCCTGAACCGCTGCCTGACAGGGATCTCATCTAACAATGGTATATCGTGAGATATCAGGTTTGTACAACCCAAATCACCATCGTAACTGGAAAACACAGGCAAATACTTCAACAGCAATGCCCTAACTTTACCCTGCTCTACCTCAGGCAGTTTTGACAGGTCTAAAGTGGCTATTTGCTCCTGCACAGAAGGAGAAGACTGTGCACTTACCCTAGCGGCCACCATGTTTACCTCTGCGACCTCTGGGGGTAACGTAACTACATCAACCTTACTCACAAGGCCCACAATAGTTCTGGCGTACAATACCACATCTATAGTGCCCACGTTGACTATGGGCACATAGACCGTACCACCATCCACCTTTAGGAGCGCAGGAGAGGCCAGCAAACCTGCAGGGAGACCAGAAATTGGAGGTTCAAACAGTACAGCATTACCAGAATACTGCACCGAACAAGTTGTAGCAACAAATTTTACAGTGCCACCTGGGATGCGACACGCCCGACGTCCACGCACTCTGACTTGTCCTTCTGCATCTTTAACTGGCTGAACTCCAGCTTGATGACAATTTTGTAAGGCCTGAAAGATAAAACTAGGGGCCTGTGATACTGCCGGTAAATCAAAAAGGCCTGTACCATGCTGGCCGAATAGCTCCTGGTAGCAGCGGCTCAACACATTCATACCCAATACACCAGGTGTTTGTGCACACATGCCCCCAGGAGGATCTTTAACAACCAGCACGCCACAGCCTGAAACTACTCGCCCACAAAGCTCTATATCTAATTCCAAATAACCAATATAAGGAATTGAAAGACCATTTGCAGCTCTAAGCTGTAACCAATGACATGATCTAAGCTGTTCTTGACCCCACAGCCCAAAATTAGTCATGAAACAACTCTCAGTAATGGTGGACACCATGGAGCCGGTGTCAACCAAACAAGGGACCTGAACCCCACCTATAGTTACAACGAGCTTCGGACATGTAGACATTAAACACGGCATATGATTATTAGAGCCTACCCTTTTCCCAACCAAGTTATGGCCCTGTAACTTGGTGGGAACTAGTTTTCCGACGGCTGGCTGGAGGATGACTGTTCGCGTCTTGTTAAAGCAGAAGTTATTTGGGCTGATAGTGCACGGACCGACATCCGCCCACCATCGCAATTTCTCGCAAAATGGCCTGGCTGACGACATCTTCTGCAAATAACAGGGTTAACTTTAGGTGGCGGCAAACTGGGTGAACAACTCTGAAGCAGAGACATACTTTGAACTAGTTGATTTAATTGTTGCTGCTGCTTCAGCAACATGTCCCGCAATTCAGTCATTTCAGACTTTGCCCCACTACTAACACTTCGATTCCCCTGCACCCCATACTGAATACCATAAACTGATGGAACAGACTGACTTCGGCCCCGCGCTCCCCCAGGCATGCCCTCTCTTTCCCACCGAAGTGCTTCACCACGTACGTCAACCAATGTGGCAGTAGGTTGACGCCGAACAAACTGCTTAAGTTCACGACGAAGGGTGCAATCATTAACGTTTTCCACAAACTGATCTCGCAGTAAAATTTCTGCATTAGGCATGCCATGAGGTGACTGACCTTTAACCTTTTCCAGAAGGCTCATCAGGGCTAAGGAAAACTCCACCAAAGTCTCCCCTTCCTGCTGTCTTCTGGAAAAGAATGACTCCTGAAGAGCTACATAAGACTTAGTACAGCCATATAGATCGCGCAATACCTGAATCACCCGCTTTGGATCCTCCCTTTCACTCTGTGGCCTATAACGAATTTCCTCTCTTGCCTCTCCCTCCAGGTGATCAAACAAGAAAAATGCCCGATCAGCTGAAGACAAATGGCGAAGACGCATACAAGCCTCTGCTTCTTCCACCCACTCATTGATGTCAATTCCGGACCGGCCACTGAATTTTGGACATTTACGGTCTCGAGGAACGAAAACAAATCGTTCGGTTGACGAGGGACCAGCATCAATGAGGGGAGGATCTGAAACAACAGGAATAGAAATATTAGATGGACCCGGCAGTGCAGCTGGCACCTGCTCTTGCCGTAGTCGCTCATTATCAGCTTTTAATTGAGTTACCAACTCCCTTAACTCACGCAATTCATCTTCCATTGCTACAACGTACAAGCGAAAAGTCAACGTTTGTTGACTCACCAAAAAGAATAGGGGAGGGAGACTGCCGCAATTCAATTCCTACAAAAATGAAAATATACAAAAACAAACACACGTCTCTGCACACAATGAGGGGGAGTCCTGCCGACTACGCCAGAATGTGACGAGGGTATAGAGTAGGGTTTAAATCTTTTTAAATAAAAATAACCGACTACGCCACCCCAGGAGTTACCCAGGGAAACAACTATTAGAAAAAGGACACAGGTTCGTTTCTCCCAGAAAGGCACAGAGACGTGAGTTAATGAAAAAGTACAAAAATATTTATTTGGAATAAAACGGTTCTTAAAAACACATCAAAAACTCCCACTTCATTATTAAACACAAGAAACAATAAATAAACAAAACCAAACCAGGATTGGAGGTTCCCACTGACTGGGTACGAGTGGACAGACTTTACCCCAGCACACGCACACACCACAGTGCACTCAAAAATCACGCTATCACGCACTCAGTGTCCACAGCACACGATAGAGAAACACCACCACCAGTGGAAAGTGACCCGTCATCCACCGGGGGAAACCTCAGTTCCTGAAATAAATAAAAATAAAAATCAATAACCAACAAAACACAAATAAGTGGGTCAATCAGGTCAACACCTACTTTACATGATCTAATTGAAAGATAGCTGCAGCTGTATTTACACCATCTGACCTACACTAGACCCAACATTAACTGTTACTAGAAATAAGACTAAACTCACAAAAGAATACTCTTAATAACGAAAAACAAAAATCAATACTTTGCATAAATAAAGACACAACAAAAAAAAACAGAAGAATGCTTATGTTGACAAATCAATTATCCAACACAAATAAACAAATGAAAGAATGAAGGGGAGCACAAAGCAGCACGCTAAGAGTTATTGCAGGCAGTCCCTGCTAGCAGCTGCATTGGTGGTGTCCAAGCGGCAGCCAATACGCCGCCGTTAGCATTAGCAGCAGTTGCAGACGGTCTCCGGTAACCACGGCAATAGCGATGAACACGGGAGCTAGTAAGCAAATGATACCAGAGGAAGATCCGATGTAAGAGAGAAAGAAAGGGGAAAAGGGAGGATCCTAAGGAGGAAAAGCGCAAACAAGCCCATTAACATGGTCCTTTAAATGATCACAACATATCATACGTGCTTCACTTACCAATGGGCGCACACTCAGACACGTTCTAATCACGCGTTGGTCGATACAATACAGCGAGGTGCCGGAATTAATAGCTGTACAGCATGAAACACGCAGGTTAAAATGCGGCTAAACCCCATTACTCAGCCAGTTCAAAGCCATCACATACCTGCAACTGAACAGTCATCCAGCCACCACAGCCAAGGGAAAAGCCACCGCCACACGATGCACTAGAACAATGCCAAAAGAGAGCTTAACGTGGGTCGATTCAAACAACTTACAAAATTCAGAACGAGCGCAGAGCCTCTACCTGTAGCCGCGGCTACAGACACCCAAACCAGTGCGTCGGAGTCGGACGTGACGTATCCCAAGCACCGACCAATCAGGTTTAAAAAGGCGGTGCTACGTGCCGATTGGCCGATGTCAATGCCAATCAGCTGCACAGCACCATCACATTTTGGTTACTCATATCAATCAGCTGCACTACACCATCACACATGGAACACGTATTGTACTTCCAAAAGCATTACAAGCACGAGCACTAGCACTTGCCCATGAGGGACATCTAGGTATAGTTGGAACTAAGCAGCATCTCAAAACCAAAGTATGGTGGCCTGGCATGGACAGAGCTGCTGAGAAACACTGTAAATCATGTCATGGCTGTCAAACTGTCTCTCGTCCTAATGCTCCAGAGCCACTACGACCTTTACCATTACCTGATGGACCGTGGCAAGATTTAGCAGTGGATCTGCTGGGGCCCTTTCCTTAGAAACATTCAATTTTGGTTGTTGTGGATTATTATAGCAGGTATTATGAGTATGATTTAATGACCTCCACCACAACTTCAAACGTGATTGACAGCCTAGAGGGCATATTTAGCCGACATGGACTTCCCTTAACACTCAAATCAGACAATGGACCTCAGTTCAGGTCAGACGAATTCAAAGCTTTCTGTGAAGGGAATGGAATTAAACACCTGAAAACAACACCTAAATGGGCCCAGGCTAACGGTGAAGTTGAGCGTCAAAATGCCTCTATCATGAAACGTATTCGAATTGCGCAGTCTGAGGGACTGGACTGGCAAAAGGAACTCAGGAGGTATGTTACAGTATACAGAGGAATTGTACACAACACAACAGGAAAAAGTCTAGCTGAACTCTTGTTTAAAAGGAAAATGAGAGGCAAGCTACCTGAACTCACATCTGTGGATACAGATCTCGAAGTTCATGACTATGATGCTGAGAAAAAAGGAAAATACAAACTGTACGCAGATGAACGCAGCAAAGCACAACAATCATGTGTAGAGGTTGGAGATCGAGTTTTGATCAGACAGGACAAGACTGATAAATTTACCACACCATTCAGTGCAACACCTCACACAGTAATCAGAAGAGCTGGAAACCAAATAACTGTCGAATCACCAACTGGAGATCAATATAGCCGCAATACAACATTTGTGAAGAGATATGTGGAGAAAGAAACAGAAGACAGCCAGGGTAACAAAAAAGCAGAAGATGCCGGCTGTTCTGGGGACACAAATCAAAAGAAACTGCTAGAGGGATCAGTTAGACCTGTGTCTACAACAGAGTGTGAACAAAATGCCTCATATGAGAAGCCCAAAAAGGAATGAAGATTACCAAAAAAAGTGTTTTTACCAAAAAACTAGTGTTTACTAGTTAAATGTTTAAATATGTTGTGTTTGAGTAAGAGTAAGACAACTTAGATTGATAGTCTTTATTCAACTTTGGGGGGGGATGTCATGTACTATAATTGCATCTGTGTCTTTAAAACGGGAAACAGGTGGCAAGATGGGAAGTTTTGTAATGTTATGGAGTTTATACACACAAGAGAAGTAAAGAGTGGTGGTAAAATGTTAACATGCGTGGCTGATTTAATTCAGAAGTATGTGCGATCTATAAATTAATATTTGATGCTAAGACACACATACATAACAACACCCATTACAAGTTAGATCAAAACCAGGCCGAGCTTCATAATTCAAACAAACATTTTGAAATATATTATATTTAATTAAAATTGTTTCCTGAAAAACACACGACCTCTAACTAGGGTTGTAACAATATACCGGTATGACGGTTTACCACGATTTGAACGTGCACGATTATCATACCATGAACAATTGCATATCAACGGTTTTAACCCTTAAAGACCGAGACAGCCGCCCGCGGCTAAAAATAAGTATTGCTCTTAAATGTTTAATAACTTTTGATCCGCTGATCCGATTCATACAATTCAAAGATTGGCATAAAGAAGAGAATCTCAGCTTTCCAGTGCTGTATCACATAACATTCGCGGACTTTCAGAGGCTCCGGAATCAGTGCGGTTACGTCATCAACATTTGACAACGCTGATTTGACAAAGAAACGCTCGTCACTGTGTCTCCCGACAAATCAGACATGATACATTGATGCATTGTCCCTCCTCCATGCCCAGATTGGTTCAAACTCGCTATATCACAACCAATAAGCGTAGGTTTCGCTTTTGTTTGTGGACCAAGCTTTTTGAACAACACGGAATGAGAGATAGGCATACATTTATGCGCGGCTAAATAAAACGCAAAAAAAAAAAGTTTTGCATGAAATAATTCTCATACTAAGTACTTTTGCATGCACAGCAGCACAGAAACATGACAAAACAGTGACACAGCAAAGACGAACTGCTGCTCTTGCTGTTTTCAAAAGACGCAAATGAAGATGCAGCTGTTTGTCTGCATTGCAGACAACCATATCCAAATCCATATCGATAGACAACCATATCCATGCTGGCACATAAAACCTAAGGATGTTCCATATTGAATCTAGTTTCGTTATGTAACTATTTATAGTATAGTAAATATTTATATCTATTTTTTACTGAGGATTTGCACCATGTTTATTTGGACTTTATTTGGACTTTGACACATTATTTATTATTTTCTTATTTTTTTATTTGTTCATTGTAAGTGGTGTTGTTTATAGTAACTAAAAATATATTATTTGGAAAAAGTCAAATTTGCTTCACTGTTCTATTATTTTGTAACATTTGTAACATACCGTATACCGCGAAACCGTCAAACCGTGGTATTGTTTTAGACGATTATCATACCGTGAAAAATTCATACCGTTACAACCCTACCTCTAACCTATAAGGAAAATGAAAGGAAAATACCATGTTTTCAATACTTTATTCAGTAGATTCAAATTATTATGTTATTAAATCCCATCCACACATCTTTACTCTAATTCATTTCTGACTTCATTTCTTATACTTTAAATATACATATAAAAAGAAATAAAACTCTTCAAGTAGACTACTCCCACTGAGATCATGAAGTAATGTGGACTATCAGTTCTGTTCAGATACCATGATATTTGCCGCCCTCAAGTGGTTGAGAAAGAGAATACAACCAATAAGAAAGTATTAGCGACGCAGCATTATACTGCAGAAGTACGGAATTAAATATTTATATAAGTGTTTGAACAAGTATTAAAACAAGTAGATTTACCTTTATAATATGATTTAATATTTATTTTAGCTTTATTTTAGGCATTACTATAAGAATTGTCAGGTATTATGTATGCAATATGTAGTTCAGCAAATTTTAAAACAAAACAAATTGATCTCAAGGACATTTTATTTGATGTCATAATTAGAACGTCAAAGTGAAATGTTAATTTAGTTTTAGTGGGTAGTTTGCAGTGAGACAGTGCGTTTGTTTTATCATGGGTCAGCGAATTTCTTGTCTGAATATAGCGACAGAGTCGGAGTGTGTGTACAGTTTACATCCTAGTATACCACTTCAGTTAAATAATGACACGCCTCGTCACGAAAACCATCAGCTTGATGAGAGCCGTGTTGTTCCTTGTGAGAAAGATGGAGTAGGGAGTTTGGTAAAGGAGAAAAAGAAAGAGAAGAAAAAATCGAGTTTTTGGAGAAAGCTGTTCCGCTTTTCACGTCCAAGAACTGGAAGGGGTGAAAAGGTGGAGCAGGTGGACAGTGAGAAGGTGAAGCCAGTCACCGAAGCAGAACCTTCTACTGATGGTAAATCCCTTTATTTTTTCTGTGACTGGAAATTTTTTTTTTATAAAAATGATCACCATAGCTTTAAAATATTGTCTCTGCAAATGTATTTGTAAAAGGATTGAAACGTTTCTGTGTGTTTTAATTAAAGTAAATGTTGAATGTATGTACCCCTCTTTAGATCAAACCTCAGTAGGAAACATCCCAAACGCTGTTGAGCATCATGACTACCAGCAAGCTCCTAACAGCCTTGAGGTTCCTTCCTCCATCATTGACCTGCAAATACAGGAACAGTGTGAGAATGTGGAGCTGGAGGAAGAAACGTCTACTGATGGTAAATCTCTTCATATTTTGTGTTTACTGAACTTAATCATTAAAGAAGATCATCATAGCTTTAAACATTTGCAGAGTTCAAATGTTCAGATGTGCAGATGTTTGTGTATCTGAACTCTTCAGTTTTGTCTTTGTAAATACTATAAATGTATTATTTGTAGCAGTATTGAAATGTTTGTGTGTTTATATATAATTGTTGTATTTTCCTCTTTAGATCAAACTTCAGTGGAGACCATATCTTCTGTAGAGAGTTATGGTCCTCAGAACACTCCCAACAGTAGTTTTGAAATTCCTCTCTTCACTGTTGACGAGCAAATCCAGGAGTTTCCAGATGATCTGTCAGAGGAAGAAACTGCGTGTCCTCTGGCAGAAAACCCAAGCCAAGACATGGTCTTGGTTATTGGGAGTAAGTTCATATTAATTATGGCTGCTTGATGCTTTCACTTTTTGAAAGGATTAGATGTTTCTGCATTATGTATTAGTGACGTAATGGTGTATAAAGTGGTAATAAAGTTTTACTTTTGCATTGTAGAATATGAATCTGTCTCTAAAACTAATTATATTTGAACAGGCATGTGCTGGACCTACAACATGGGTGAGCTACTGGGAGAAGGAGGATTTGGTGCCGTATATGCTGGTGTCCGTGCCCATGATGGTCTTCCGGTAAATTTATATATATTTTTGCATGATTAACCTAACAAACTATATTTATGTGTTATGCTTTGTCTTTTGTAACACAATTAGAGTGCTTGATAAATGGTCAACTTGACCAAACATGCTACAAATTCATGACTAGAATTTCAACAAGGATTATTGAATAGCCTGATGTAATCCAGTGCTAACTGTTATATTCTGTTTTGTTGATCAGGTGGCAATCAAGTTTGCCAAAAAAATGGAGGGCATGGAATATCTCTACGTTGTAAGTAGACTCATCTCCTCTAACTCTGTTTTTATTTTATTTTTTCAACAGTGTTAATCATAGACAGCAAACTATCTCTCAATAAACAAATTATAAACATGTTGTGCACACCACCTTAATTTAACCATCCTAAAAACTCTTTCCACTAGCCTGGCCTTCCAGAACTTGTACCGCTTGAAATCGGCCTCACACTTATGGCAAACAAGGGTCCCAGCTC